ATATATATAAAAAACAAACAAAATACAGCAGACAAATGCATCAAATCTAGCATGTATCCAGATTCACATACTCATATTCTACACAATCATTCAGTTCTAAGCTACAGTGATGTAGCCGTTTAGCGTTCAGTCTTGGGTGTATGTTCGCTTGATAACAGGCCAGGAATGGCACTAGACTTCAGGTCTGTAGTGATACTCAGAATCACACCAATCATCACTATTACAACAGTGAGCTACAGCGTTCTGAAGGGAGATCTAGAAGTACAATCTACAGTATGTGACCAGGTGAGAATGGAACACATTCCTTGAGCTTCAGCCGTAGGAAACATGGAAATGAGAGTATAGAGAGGGATTTCTTTTGAAATCAGTGACCAAAGTATTATGTACATAGTTTTTTTTTTATCTTAACCTTTTTATTGTTTTAAAAATAATAAGTTGGGCAGTGAAACTGATATCACATACACGGACACATCCAAAAACATACAAAAATACTATTTCTTTCACCTACAGTTAGACAGTTTTGCAGTAAAATTCCATGCTGTTACAGAAAAAGAGCAACAGATCCAACGAACAAGAAAATTAAAAACGACAAACTTTTTTTTCCCCCATAAGCATCTCAGAAAAATACCAAAATATACATCTAAGCTTTGGAATTACTGAGGTTAGGACTACTGTCAGAGCTGGGTTCTGTTTCTTAATACACAAGCTGCAGGGTTTGGGAAGGAAGAGGAAAAAGAACAGAGTAATCTTTGGTATCTGCATTTGTAAAACATTACATATTTGGATATTTTTGCTTTGGGATAGAGCTTATAGTTGCTTTCGACTCTCCACTCGGCATAAAAGTATTAAGATCCATCTGAAAAGGACCGTGTCTCACAGACGCTGCCCTTGCAGGATGGAGGACAACGATGCATAGTTGCACAGCTGATCAAACCAATTGAAATCATGATAGTGGAAACAGCAAAGCTAGATAAAAGACATCGACAGAACATCAAAACCACGGGATGACGGCACCTAAAAGACGACTATGGAGAGACATTGCATGTTTTCTGAAGACAATCAGAAACAGTGTTGCCTTGCTGCAGCCACAGAGTGGAACTCCAGAGGACAGTTTATCCTGAGCAGGTTGCAGTGAGCCCAGGACATCCTTCAGCGTGTATTAAAAAACATCACCCAGCCCATGAGGGGTTGCTTTAAGTCCTTTCCAGAAGCCGGCAGAGCCGATTTGCTTCCTCTTTCTACTAAACCCCACCCACTTGGCCACATGAGTGACCAATGATCTAAAACCACAAGCTAATGGTTGAGGCAGGGCACTAGAAGAGAGAGTTTAGTCCATACAATCACTTTGAAAGTCTTTGGTTACCACTGAGAAGGTGAGGAACAAGCAGACCGCAAACCCAAAAGAATGAATGGTCAAACCCTGCAACAAATAAGGGTTGGGGGTTCATAAAGACGACGATTGTCAAATCATAAAAAAAGCTTTGGTATAAAATTAATGAGGAGCTATAGTGTGAACTTAAATTTGTATCAAAAGCAAAATATAAATAAGTGGGATGGGTTTTTAATATGCATGAGCTTGTGCGGTCCTCTGGGTATCCATCCGGTTCCTCACTCCAAACTTTAAACAGACATCTGCAGGCTTCTGTTCTGGGACAGATCTTTTTTTTATTATTATTATTTCATCTTTTGAAGTAGATTAAAGCAAGTTTTTACTCAGTTTTGAGTTATAAATGAGGTATACAACAGCTCCTTTACTCAGACCAGCTCTCGCTCTGCTCTCTGGTGCATGACCTCTTCTGTAACGATCCTATTTTGTCACTAGACTGAGGGTCTACAGCGGCAAACCCCGCTACAATCGAGAAACTATCCAATCACAAGTCAGAGCATCCACACACTCCAAAATCAAGTGCCAAAATGGATCCGCAACAACTTCAAATGTACAAAGCTGCTGCCAGGTTCAACATCCTTCGATAAATCACATCCGAAACATCTCATGAGCACACGGGTTCAAAAAGATATCATTTACAGCCAAGTGGTCAATTGCATCAAATGATGCATGATGCTTCCTTTTTAAAATTTTTTTTTTAAATCAGTTTCCTGTATTTCCTACCAATGAGTCTCACTTTTAAGATATTACGTCAGACAGAACCTCTCTAAAGTATTATCATTTGAAGTAAATGCACCACTAGCGCCCCCTACATATCAGCTGGAGTTGAGTTATTAGTAAAGCTTTTAACAGGTATCCAACCGGCTTGAATTTTACCTACAAAATAGGTAGCAACACTTCCAAAATATCACAAAACACAAATAAAACTCACAGCGTTATTTTCATGGTTGATATGCACCATAAGAGTTTTGACATTGGTGCATGCTCGGTTGCATCCTCTTTCACATGCGCGCACACACACTCAAATTCACAACCGAAACAAAATCATCTCTCACGTCAACATATTATAGTTTGCTACAATGTGTCAAACTCTGAAATAATAGTAAGGCATAAATGATAAATGCAAGTTTTTGTTAAACTAAGAAAGCCAGTGACGTTGCTCCCTCATGATATACAAAAAAAGGCATAAAGTAATTAAATTCAAATGATTGTTAAAAAGCAACATGGCAAATGAAATTCATTAAAAGCAAAAAAAAAAATAATTAAGAATAGTTTGGTGCTATCAAGTCTGTTACATCAATGAAAGCCGGGGGCTTTCCTTTAGGAGCACCATCACAAGCCCCACCCACTCAAACAAACCACATTTAAATGTGGGCAGGGCACACAACAGCCACTCCCACATCACAAGGGTGTGGTTGCAATTTTTGGTCTTGACTTTTTTTTTCTTTTCTTTTTTTTAGCATAGCTATAATATAAATGATTTTTTTTTTTTTTTCCTTTTAGTGATTAAGCATGACAAAAACACTACATTCAAACTAGATATTAGTTCAAATATAAAATATGAGCATCTTACATAAGTGAATATATATAGAATTTAGAAACGAAGTTCTCTAATCTTTGAGTAATTCCTCAGATAAATATATCAGTAACTCCCCACAGTCCTGGCGACCACCGGGTCATGACACTAATGCGCAAAACAACACACAAATCTACACGTCCAGAGAGGCTACGTTGAAATTTCCGGACAGAACCAGCGGATTGAGCAGCAACAAGACCCAGCCGCAAAGACAAAGGCTTTTTCTTTTTTTACTTTGGCAAGTAGGATAACAAAATATTCATTACAAGTTAACCTGGACATACCCTTTAAGTAGTAGTAGTAGTACTTGAAATAGCAGTAGTAGACTTATGTGACATTATTATTACAGATTTTCCTGTTATACTTTGTAGTTTTGTTTTACATGTTGGTCATGTTAAAATGGACTGTAAGAAACAGCTTTTGTACATTCTGGAGTTGACTACAGGTATCTTTTGCTTAGAGTGAACCTTCCATGTAAGTGCTGCTGAGGTATTTCAAATCATATTAACAATAAAATACAAATAGCATCGCTAACAAACAGTCGTAACAAAAATTGACAGACAGGGCCATAGTAACAAAAGACGAAAGGGACAATAAGGAGAGACTCTGACCTCTTTAAAAGCAATGCTACGGATGAAACAGTACTGTAATTCTCCCAGAATGCCTGCCTGCATCATTCATTAAAAACAACAACAAAAAGCAAATCTAGACAATATGCCAATGCAATACTAAAAATATTGATATGAAGCCATTTCAGAGCCATCTGCACTTCCACAGGTTCTTCTGGATTTAAATTAAGAGTTTGGTGGACTCTTGAAATTTCTATTGCTATTCATTCAATGAAACGCAGCATCGGTGTTGAGTCCTATGATATTACATCAAAAAACAAAGACTCACCAAGGTGGTGAGGAAACCATGAAATGAAGGACAGACTCCCAAAATCTCAACAGCACTTAAACACAAGGCCCTTAAGATTCTCTTTGGATCGTTAAATGCTTGGATATCGAGAGCTAAAGCAAGTTAGCGCTGCGCTAGAGAAGCTATATTTCTTCATAAAGCTGAACACGATTTGTTGGACAATGCAAGTCAAAAGAGTAGGGTTTAAAAGATGTGTAATAGATGGTAAAGTTTGTCAGTAGTGAGTAGTGAAAGTGTGGTCAGCATTGCACTGGCCCACACAGGCACAGCAGCTAGTGAGAAATCGACTTTGGTTCAAGCTTTACATCATGGCTGCATTACATTGGTAGGGAAAAACAAAACAGACCATCCAGCTAAAACCCCTATTTAAGTTCTCACCCATTTATAACAGATATTCCAGGCCCACTATTGTCCTCCATGGTATAGCCTACACATTGGGCTGAAGGGAGAAGGGGCTCTGTAAAATTCAGAGATGTCCCTGATTTCAGATTACGGAGGACTGAATCTGGCACCTTGTAACTACAAAGAAGGGAAAATGTTCAAAAAGCTTGTCAGGTAAGAACACACTTGCATTACTTCCACATTTACAATTTTCAATTATCTGAACAGAATGGGAAGACGACTCTCCCATATGTCTCACTCAAAGTCCTCATCATTGACCAGCAGAAGGAACAATCCCAAACCTCAAACTGGTCCTATGCTGTAGCATCACGTCCTGCTCTCGCCTCAGATCTATTTGGTTAGAATCACTGACACTACAAAATTGAGGAGGGACGGCCATCTCAAACAAAATTAAAAAAAATAAAAGAACTCTGTTTTCGTCTTTGGAAAAGATCAAAATATTGCATTATATTTCCTGTGGTCTACCGAGAGCCTTCGCTCATAAATATTTAGGTTTAAACTATGCTACAGTAGCAATATACAGCAACAGGTATAACAAAGATTTTTGGTATATCTTGAAATAGAGGCAATACAAAGACCTCCGAAATAAAAACCTCTTAAAGCGTGACAGAAGTTCTGCTAAAAACTGAGCAGACTGCAGTTCTCAAATCCAGTTTTTTGGTACAGGTACTGTGCACAAGTAGAAAATCAAAGACCCTAAAAAAACAAAAAACTCATCCACCTCAACTTTATCTTGCTTGACCTTCACCTTCACAATCAGGTGGTGATACCATAAGTACATCCCATGTTAGGAAGACCTTGAGGAGGTTTACCTTACGTGGTTACACAGTCCTGATGCTAACGTAAGACTTGCAAGCTCTCTCCTTGACGAATCATCTCATAATTCGTTAAAGCTTTTAGTATTAAGTGAGCCCGTTACTGGGTGAGGATTCAGACCCAGACTAGTCTTCTGCTACAGAGTAAACTACAAAATGATATGAAAACAGCATTTGAAAGTTTCATTAGAAAGAAAGAAAGGCCTATAGAACGATTCCTTAAAAGCAATGAAACCGCATCACAGCCGCTTATTACTCCATTTAAAGCCTTGTAACCACAAGTTAGTAAGATACTGGACATAAAGCTAACCCACTGTTTGACAAAAATAAGTCATGTACATCTAAAAGGAAACGTTCCAGGGGGCAGGAAAATCTGTAAAGCAGGATCTCCAGTGAAAAGAGATTAAGATCATAGACAGAAGAATGAGGAGGTTACTGTCAGCAGTAAGTAGGTATCATTCAACACAGAGTAAACAAAGTTTTTTGGTTAAAAGCATTTCAGAAATACCTCTGAAGAAGAGGTCTGATGTAAAAATGGGAGAAAAGAGCGAGTTCACTGAAACAAATGCGTCTTTGAGTCACACAGAGACTTGGCACAATGTCCAGGGAGGTTTTTGCTCTCCTGATGCAAGCTCTGTGGAGACGCCAACATTCTCTTAAGGTTGATTTGGTTGAAGTCAACCCATCAATGAGGTCCAAACATCACAGATTAAGTTGTAAAAGATATGTGAAAAGTTAGGACATACAATAACGTTAAAACAACATGAAATCCTATTTAGTAGGTTTGTTTTTGGTGGTAGCAAGAGACTAAAGAAAAACTTAGAAAGAGGAAAGGGGTCTAGGAGAGGAGAGGAGTGGGTAAAGCTTTTACTGGGCCTTAGAGGTCGTGGTGATGGTGGAGGCAGGCATAGTTGCCGTGGTAACAGCGCTCTGGTGGGCATCGGCGGTGATGTGCAGGTTGAGGGCTCCGGCAGCACCCGCAGCCCCTCCCGCAGACACTAGGCTGACCGGGTTACTGGCAAGCAGTGACAAGTTCTGAGGGTTAAAAAAGAACGGTGCCGTCACAAGGTTCGGGGTACTGCCAGCGCAGGTGTTGGCAAACAGCAGGTTCCCGCTCCCGTCCAGAGATGTAATGGGCAGAGTGCCACTAGATGCCAGAGCTAAAGAGACATAAAACAACATTTTAACTCCAGGTGTTCAAAATATCGAAACATAGAGCAGTGGCCTATACAAATATAATTTATACTAATCATTGAAAATAAAATAATATAATAAATATTGTTAGAATTAAGAAAAATTTTATTCGTTTTCTTTTTGTGTTTTATGTGTTCTTTTTATATTATTATTATTATTTAGGGCTGTGTATATATATATATATATATATATATATATATATAAACACACAAGTAAATAATGTAAACAGAAACTTATATTTTGGATGCGATTAATCATGATTAATCGATTTGACAGCGATATTATTATTATTATTATTAAATAATGAAGTACACTATTATTATTATAAAAAATAATATTAATCATCATCATCAACTCAACCTTTATTTATAAAGCACTTTCAAAACCATAATAATGGACCAAAGTGCTGTACACAAGCAGTATATAATAAAGATCAAAAAACATAAAACGTTAAAACATAGGAACAAAATATAAAATAAAAGACAAGTCATTCACAATTGTCCTGACCAACCAAATGCCGAAAGCCTGATAAAAAAGTAAGTCTTTAAGACCTTTTTAAAAATGACCATGCTTGATGAGGATTTTACAGATAATGGCAGAGCATTCCAAAGTGCTGGAGCCACAGCAGAAAATCATCAATCATCATCTTCTATCTATTAAAGAGTTTTAAAAAAATCCACAAAACCTAATGCACTTAGATGGTTATATGAACTTATAAAGTTAAAATATAAAAAGGCTTGCATTTTTTGCAAATATGTTGTTTACAATATTTACACTGTATGCAAATAAGTCATTTACAATCTTTGAATTTTATGCAAATATGTTGAATGCGGAAAGCTTTTAAAAGAGTAGAGTGACACAAGAGTCACTAAAACGTGTTATAAGACATTCATCTTGCTGGTGATACCAAGATTAATAAGCACATGCAGAGTCATATTATAAATTCAAGTGTACTTGCCGCTCCACACACCTTGGATTGTGGCCAAGGTGCTGTTGCTCATCAGTGCTGGACTCAAAGCGCTTCCAAGACCACCGGGTGCCAAACTTAGAAAAGATCCGCTGCAATGGAAACACCAGAGAAAAAACAGAATTAACAATATATACACACAGATGTTCAATCACAAGCTTGAAGTTGATGCTTACCCAGGAGTGAACTGTGAGGACGCCATAAGGCCAGGATTGAGGCCTGCGGCTGCAGCCATGGCAGCGATGCTGGCACTGGTGGGCAGCTGGGCGGCTCCTTGCAGAGCGGCTGAGAGGCTGGGTGCCGCCACCATCACCTGCCCAGTGCACAGAGTTGTCGCCAAGGAGGAAGGTGCCTGACTTACTGCTATCACCGTCTCCTGAGCTGAAGCCTGCTCTGAGGAGGACATCTGCGCTGCGGTGGGGGAAGGGCTGATCGAAGGAGAGGATGCTGCCGTGGTGACCACAGGTGCAGTAGAGATGACCGATGCAGTGTTAGTGGTAGCTGAGCCAATAGTTGTACCTAGAGAAAGAATAGGCTCTTGTGAGGTGAACAATAGCAAAGTTGTAGGCGTTTTTTTAGGCATTCTTGCCTACCAGTAAAACCGATGCTGGAGAGACTGGTGCTGGTGAGAGGCATAACTGGGTTTACAGTCATCGTAGTCGGTGTGTTACTGGTCACAAGACTTGCTGTACTCAGTGCCTGAAACGAGGGAAAGAAGGAAGAGGTTTAGTGCTATTTTAAGTAGTCAGATCTGTTGGGTTGAATGAACGGAGGCAGTTTGCACGTCGTGTACCAGAGGTGTGGTGGGAGGGAAGATTGCTTTGATAGGAGTGCTGACGGCGCTGCCACTGCTGGGTGGGTTGATCCTCTTCTCTTTCTGTCTGCGGTTACAGAACCATACTCGGATCACCTCCTTCTCCATGTTGAGCTGGTCCGCAATCATGGTGACCTCCTCAGAGGTAGGTTTGTGGTTCTGCTTGAAAAGGGCAAATGCACAAGAAACGCCCTTATGGCAAAAACAAATCACCAAAGACCTACCAGCCTCCAGTCCAAGGTTTGAGGAGGAAATAATTCAGCTGGAAAATTTGAAGTTGAGACAATATCAAATGTTTAAACAAGGGTCTTTGGATGCACGGTTTCTTAAAGAAGGGGCTGAATGTTGTGGGTGTTCTGTTTCTGATAATGTAAGAAGTTAGAACATACAAACGCAAACATTTTCTGTAGTTCTCAATTTACAGAGTTTTATATTACACTGTATTATTATTATTATTAATAATAATTACTATTATTTAATAATAGTGCTGTCAAACGATTAAACGCATACATAAAAGTTTTTGTTTGCATAATATATGTGTGTTCTGTGTATATTTATTATGTATACATAAATACACACACATACAGTATATATTTAGAAAATATTTACATGTATTTACATGTCTATATTTATATTCATATAATTTATATAATAAATAAATATATTTAATAAATAAACAACCAATTTTTCTGAAATATATAGCACACATACATGTATTATGTAAACAAGAACTTTTATTTTGGATGCGATTAATCATTTGACAGCACTATTTAATAATAATGTAATAAAGTACATTACTATTACTACTAATAGCTACAGTACAAATAATACAATTTAATTCAAAACTGTAAACAATTACAAAAACATTATTAAGTAGTAGTAATAATGTAATAAAAAAAATCACTACTACTACTAATAATAATAGGCAACAAAAATATAATGTAATATAAATGTGTAAACTGAATTATAGGAAATTATTAATATTTTAATAATAAATAAAAATTCTAATATTTTATAAAATAAATAAAAAATGTATTATAAAAATAA